TGTGTTTTTTATTTGAGTTCAATCAGTTGTTTCCTACTTCTAACACAGTAAAGTCTGTGATTTTTTTCAATTAGTCAAAAGAGACTTTAATTGAAAAAACTGAAATTTAATTTTTTTTTCTGAAATTTTCTCCAGTTTGACAGATGAAGGTCTATCAGAGTCTGACTGAGAACATGCTGACAGTCAACATGTTACTGAGTGTCTTCTTTCTTCCAGGTGAGATGTTTGTTCTCTTCCTTTCAAGTTGAGATGTAAAAAAATAATTTTTAGTCTGAAATATTTGATCTTGATATCGTTTAAAGGCTCAACTTGTAACATGATACAAGTGAACTGGAGTTCTTTGGATTATGAATTTTCTCTAAAGGCAGATTTTGCTCCACATTATGTTTATTATTGATCTGCTTTGCAGGTGATTTGACTGATTACTGTTATGGTGGTAAACCAGCCCTCAGGATCACTACACCAAATAACATGGAAGCTCTGACTGGATCTTGTTTGCAAATCCCATGTACCTATGAGACAGATCATCCTGATTATGACAGCAGTAAAACTATCTATGGAGTTTGGATGAAAGGTAGCATAGATACAAAAAACGCTATTTTCAACAGCAGCGGCTCAGTTAACACCTTTCAACTGAAAATAATTGGAAACCTGAAAGAGAAAAACTGCACCACTCTGTTTCCTAATCTAACAACAAGTCATGCTGACAAATATTTATTCAGAATTGAAAACTATCCATTTAGAGCAACAGCTTGTGCTGATGATCTTCAAATAACAGTTCAAGGGAAGATTTTATTTTTCTTTTAATGTAACTTAACATTAATATAATTGCTGCTCTGATAAATATTCAAAATTTAGGAATGAGCACACAATATTTCAGATTAGTGTTGTTTAAAAGTTGACTTTGATTTCTTTGTAAAAAACTTAAGTGTGTCTACTACACAAATAACGTGATTAAGATTGGAACCAAAAATACTATTATTGGAGGATTTAATATATCCTTTGTAAAATAACTCTTCTCTTTTTCCTTTTGTCTTCAATTTTGTTTATGTAAGAATGATAAATGCCAGGGGATCCACTTTAAAAACTTTTGGTTGAATTTGAGGAAAATAGTGTTTGGATATTTCTTATTCCGGAATGAATTAAACTTCTTGAAAAATATTTTAACTACTGTTTAGTACTTTTATGAAGACTGGAAGTCATCTGAGATCATTATCTATCTGATGTGAAACACCAGATTCTCCTTGGACTCCCAGCATTAATATCTCTGCTGGTGACCTGAAGGAGCATCAGTCTGTCACTGTAACCTGCTCAGCTTTCACTCCCTGTCCACACTCACCTCCTGAACTCACCTGGAATCTCCAACAAGACTCTCTCAGACAAACAGAGAAAAACACAGATGGAACCTTTACAACTAAAATCCAGGAGAACATCACTCTGTCAGACACACATGATGGATACAACATCAGATGTTCTGCCAGATATCCTGTGATTGGAGGAAACAAGACAGCAGAGACAGAAGTGACTCTCAGTGTTTCATGTAAGTGATCCTGTCAGCAGGTCATGGTTCAGCTGTTTGTGATCAATAAAGTTCATGTGTCTCATTTTCCTCAGATGCTCCTAGAAACACCTCAGCATCCATCAGTCCATCAGGTTTGGTGTCAGCAGGTAGCTGGGTGGAGCTGAGCTGCTCCAGCAGAGCCAAACCTCCACCCAGATTCACCTGGTTCTGGAACGGCATAAAAGTGTCTGAAAAACAAAAGCACAGCTTCATTGTCACTAACGAAGGAGAGTTTTACTGTGTGGCCAAAAATGATTTGGGAAATGAAACATCATCAAGGATCTGTGTCAGTATTAAAGGTAAATGTTGTTACTTCTTGCTTCAAATCATTTCTGACTCTGAAAGTGTCTGACATTAGAAACGTAGATCAATAACATCAGAAACAGTAATTTTAAAAATGTGACCAAATACTGATCAGAATCTGTTCGACCCCATCTTTGGGATTTTTATTATCTATAATTTGGTCTTTTTCAAGGTTTAATGGTTTTCCAACTTACACCTGCAATTGTTTGAAAAGGAAGCATTGAGAACATAAATTTAATTCAGTTTTTCTCTGATCCACAAACAAATCAAATTATTTTCAGATGATTTTGACATTACAATTGATATTTGACCACTGCTGTTATCAAAAATGGTAGATTTTAGTCTAGAAGAGTTAGAGACCAATCCATACGCACAATGCCAGTCTTCTTTATATATTTCAAATTATATTATGATGTATGTTAAAGATCAGTGTTTGTCATTCGCTCATCTGTGATAAAACTTTATTAAACAGATTGAAAGTGTTAGCTCCAATGACATAAATGAGGATGTTTGAGGATCTATCCTGTAACCGTCAAACTGTAATCCTGTCAGAAACATGTTGCTATTGTTCACAGTGAAGCAAGTTTCAAATCAAAATAGATTAATACAGTATTAACAAAAAGAAAATAACTTTTTCTAAACTATAAAACTTGTATGTTGTGGGGGGTGGTTAACTGTCAGATAAGGCTTCTGCATGTTGGTGTTCCTCAATATGCCCAATTCGGTTGTCTTGGCCCTTTTGTCGCAGCCTGTGGGGTTTTCCCTGATTGGGAACGAGAATACAACCTGCTGAATGTGACAGGTAGCCAATCAGAAAGCGCGGTGACGTAAGAAGAGAGGGGAATCCCAAACAGCTGACATATCGCGCAACTGTGAGTCCGGTGGATATCAGAGATGATATGTGGAAATGTTTATTATTATATGTAAAGGTCGTTATTATATATGTTTATGTTTATTCAGTTAAAAATGTTAACTATGAAAAAACATAGTCGCCTCCAAATCATAGTGCAGCAAATAGAGCGGCTGCTCCCGTCGTCTTTTATCCACCGCCTTTTCTTTTTGTTTCATCTTTTATCTCTTAAAATGTCTCCACAAACTGTCACTATTGCTTCTACATCGTCATCTGTGTTTGGTTATTCTAAATTCCCGCTATGTTGGGGGTTTTACTGGATTATCCTCTGGAATCGGGATGTTCGTGACTGGAATCGGTTCGTGTGGTATGGAGAATCGGCCGGTTGGCTGGAGACACGAACCTGTTGGACTTTTATCAGCTCTGTGGTCACAGAGGTTTGGAGAATCGGCCGACAATCTTTAAATCTTGCCGTCTAAACCAGACTGAAGACTCACAAGCTCTACTCATCTCCTCTCGACCACTGCCCAAACGCTCTCCGATTCTGGTCACTATGGTAACGTTTATATATCCCTTCAAAATAAGATACAGATGCGCCACAAAAACGAACATTTTACTTTCGTGAAAATTTTAACTCACGATAAAGACTAACGGAGCCTGAGCTTGTTTCTCTGCAACGAGACGGTCCCATCAGGGAGTGATGGGAGACAACGACACCCGAAGTGTTGCTTATATCCACAGCCTGCTTTTCTCTACGTGGCGAAGCAGTTTGAAGCTTCATTGCCTCATTAGCAGCCGGTCGCCGCATGTTACACAGAGCGGCTTGTCATGTGGGACTCAAGTACCGGTCCAGGATAAATCCATCCTCCTGTCTCTTCTCTGGGCCGTTTCGCCTTTGCAAATTATCTTTCCAAAAGCACCTGATCTGTTTCTTACTTATTTTGTTGCTTGTGGACTCAGTGTTGGCGCGCAAGTAACCGAGAGAATCCGGTTGGAGGATTTTCAAAATAAAAGATCCTCCAGACTCCAATAATACATAAAATGGAAATATTTAATTATTTCTTGTGCGGCCCGGTACCAATTGGTCCACGGCCCGGTACCGATCCACGGACATTAACTGAATGTTTAAATGTTTTTCGCACAATTGTAACGGAAACGCAGCTACTCGTGGTTAATGTCTGGATTTTAGATGAAATTTGGTGATTCATCAGGACCATAACATTGGAATAATATGAAGGTTAAAATAGTCTAACATTAATGATGTAAAACATTAAAATTTTAAAACTATACTTGATTACTTGATGTTTTTGTAAACTCCAAACTGGAACTTCCTCACACTAATAACATGTTTCATATTTTTTGTCCCAGATTCTCCTTGGAGTCCCAGCATTAATGTTCCCTCTGACCTGAAGGAGCATCAGTCTGTCACTGTAACCTGCTCAGCTTTCACTCCCTGTCCACACTCACCTCCTGAACTCACCTGGAATCTCCAACAAGACTCTCTCAGACAAACAGAGAAAAACACAGATGGAACCTTTACAACTAAAATCCAGGAGAACATCACTCTGTCAGACACACATGATGGATACAACATCACATGTTCTGCCAGATATCCTGTGATTGGAGGAACCAAGACAGCAGAGACAGAAGTGACTCTCAGTGTTTCATGTAAGTGATCCTGTCAGCAGGTCATGGTTCAGCTGTTTGTGATCAATAAAGTTCATGTGTCTCATTTTCCTCAGATGCTCCTAGAAACACCTCAGCATCCATCAGTCCATCAGGTTTGGTGTCAGCAGGTAGCTGGGTGGAGCTGAGCTGCTCCAGCAGAGCCAAACCTCCACCCAGATTCACCTGGTTCAGGAACAGCAGAGATGGAGACATGAATGTGTCTGTTGGCCAGATTTTCAGCTTCAATGTTACTGAGGGAGGAGAGTTTCACTGTGTGGCTACAAATCATCTGGGTAATGATTCATCATCAAGGATCTGTGTCACTACTGAAGGTAACGGTTAGCTTCTTTATCTTTGGTCCTTTCTTATTCTTTTGAAACACATTTGTGTTTTATGACCATGTAAGAAACTCT